AACAAAAGCAACACATCTTAACAGTTAAACAATTATTCTGTTCCACAACAACAGAGACCTATGGAAAGATGAGAGACTGTGCATGGTGTTGGTGATTTCATGATACTCTGGTGAATTTTTCTTTACGTGCTAACAAGCGCTTTTACCTTGCAGTTTTTAAAAAATGATTTAAATTGATCGTTTGAGAATTCCCTACAATGTATTTTGAACACACCAACCCCCAGTCTTTCCTCAGCTCCTCTGAGAGCTACTCCCACCTCTCTATAGACACAATTTTATTTTTTTCATTATTTTTTAAAATAACACATCAAATCCAATTAGCAGTGTCATACACTCCTAGATGTGAGGCCAGACACTGGAGCCTGGCTGACTTACCAGGACCACACTTTTAAAGAAAACTGACTCCCTCTCCCCGAGAAGCCATCAACTGTCTATAGCTCCTCATTTAGGAGTAGGGGGCTCATGAGTGAGCCATCAACTGTCTATAGTTCCTTGGTTAGATGTGGTGGCTCAGGAGCATCTTCCCCCTCGATGCCATAATGTGGACTGACTTGATCTTGTTCATGAATGCCAACATGCCACAGTTTTTCTCTGTCTAGGAGACACTGTTTGCTCTGGTTCTTTGCATTATCTGGAGCTTGCCATCTTTTTGCCCCCTTCTCCTTAACGGTCCCTCGTCCTTGGAGGGGTATATTTTGGATGTTCCATTTGTGATTGAAAAATCCACTGACACTTTTTCCCTGCTCTTCCACCATGTGTGAGTTTCTACATTACCCACCATCTGCTTCATAAAGAAACTTCTCAGGTGAGGTTTGAAAGTTGCACTGATCTCTGGGTATAAAGATATGAATTTGGGGGCAGTTTGAAACTATGCCCACTTAATAGAATAATATCCTGAGGCTTATGGGATCATCTGCCATGGGTTCCTGACCAGACTTACAGTAACCAGGCATGAGTTTCCTTCTGTGGAATAGAAATCAGAAAGTAGTTGGTTACCTATACAACGATCATGCCATTATTGTGCCAATCATTGCTATATTTCACAGGGTTCACAGCTAGGTAAGATTGCTTATGATATTCCACCCCCTCCCTACCGAACTATGAAAACTAGGTAGTTTCCTAGTCTGCACCAACTTGAATCTCTTTGTTCCTATGACCAATGTGTGTGATGTCTTCGGCAATGGGGTTTTACCGTGAAGTTCTGGTGGGCAACTAACAGCAATGAAAATGGTCTGTATTGTTTTGGGGGTCTCCAGGACACCTCTGACTAACAACTTGAGGGGAAGTATCTCATACTTGGTGCTGTTGGCACATGTCTTCAGTGATAAGTATTATTCCCTGTGTGTATGAAACTTGTAACATAGTAGGTTTCCATATGGCTTTTTCCGACATCCTTGTGTTACTGTAAGTGTCCCTCATTTACAGATTTTATTTATTTATTATTTTATTTTTTTTTGGTTTTTCGAGACAGGGTTTCTCTGTGGCTTTGGAGCCTGTCCTGGAACTAGCTCTTGTAGACCAGGCTGGTCTCGAACTCACAGAGATCCGCCTGCCTCTGCCTCCCGAGTGCTGGGATTAAAGGCCTGCGCCACCATCGCTGGGCTTCATTTACAGATTTTAATACTCTTTCTTTGCATACTTGAAAGCTAGAACCTGAGCTGGTTGTCTTACTTCATTTATCTGTGGACTGAACTCCTCTGTGTTGACACTGATCCCTTTACAAGACTGAGACCATGAAATCTTCTTCTGTCATTCCATCTTTTGTTTTCCAGAATTAGGTTGTGAAGCTGTGGAACGGTCAGGGTGGCAACTGTTCCTAGTTTGTGTATCTTTGTTTTGGTTTATACCTGTTTGGTTGGATGTGTCCTCCAGGTTTTGATTCCCCTCCCCCACTCTTTTTGTGTGTTTATTGTGTTTCTCCTGAGTCTTCCTGGTGTGCTGTCTTCGCTTGAATTCACATGTTCACAAAAACTCAGGGAGAAAGCCAGCCGCAGTAAAAAAGCGTGATGGTTTCTCAGCAATCCTGGTGCTAACCCACACTAGAAGACACCGGTGCTTCCCTTGTGTCCCCAGGACGTTTCAGGGACAGCGGCACTAGTGCATCGATTGTGTGTGATCCAGTTATTCATTTAATGGATATAAACAAGGAAGTATTGAAATGAGGCAGGATGGAAAAAGAGGAAGTGAAGTATGGATGTGTGTGTGGGCGGGAGGTGAAAGAGTCTGGCATAGATGCAGAAAGAGAAAGAGCATTTATAAGTGCTTATTTAAGCAAGGCAGAAACCAAATCAGAATTGAATAATTATAGTACAAGTGTGCACATTTAAAGTATTTTAAGTAAAAAAAATAAATAGAAAGTAAGTTTTCTCATGTCATAAAGTACTGAACTAGTATTGAGCTTTCAGTGGTTATGCACTATTTTGGTCCATAGATGGATTGCCTGTGGACCTTCGTGGGCAGTGTTACACAGAAATGCAGATCTATCTAAATTTCCTAAGTCTGTCTTTTCCCATCTATTTACTGAGTTCCCACCGTGGGCAGATGGCAGGTCCATAATGGCATACACACTTTCTCTGTAAGAAGTTGATAGTCAGGAAAACATATTGATGAACTTGGAAATTGCCGTAAAGAATGGCCAGTGTTATGCCGTAGACACAGATATTACATAGCTTCTGTGGTTGGTAAGCGCTACTGGGAGGTGAAATAGTCTTTAGTTCAGTCTTTGACAAGTGGGGCCTAGCACGAGGAAGATAATTGAGGGTGTGCCCTTGAAGGAGTTATTAGGACCCTAACTCTGCCCCCATTTCCTGTTTGTGTGCATGTGCGTATGTTTGTAAGTTCTGGCCCCATATTCAGCTCTACTCAGACCCATCTTGGCATGTCCGTAATTCTTAGTTATTGGTCCACGTAGTCAACCAGGAAATTGTCCTGCCACCCTGCGGATGTGGTCTTTTATTGCCTGTGGCTCTCACCACTCCTTCCAGTTTACTTCTCTTTCAGGAGGCAGAACTGTAGTGCCATTTCATGTGTGGTTTAATAAACAACACTTGCCTGAAGATCAGAGAGTAAAACAGCCCTGCTGGTCAGCCTTACACACCAGGTAGTGGTGACACACACCTTTAGTCCCAGGAACCACACTAGTTGCCATAGAAACTGGGCGGTGCACACCTTTAATTCCGGTTGTACAGGCCTTTAATCCCAGCCCTAGAGAGGAATATAAAACAGGAAGAGACAGCTCACAGCCCCAGTCTCATTCTGAGATTCCTGGAGGCAGGGTCGCCATTTTGAACTTAGGTAGAGGTAAGAGCCAGTGGCTGGTTGCTTTGCTTTTCTGACCATCAGGTTGAACCCCAATTTCTCTCCCTGAGTTTTTATTAATCTTGCTTCACAGAATATAATTCTCTTTTTAAGGGACTGCTGGCATCTACACCTCATTTGGTCTCATCTTCTATCTTCTCTCCCTAGCTAGATTGACCATTTTCTTCTGCTAAGCAAGATGACCAACAGAACTGATAGGATTAGTCTTTCTCAATGTTCTGGCCATTTTGATCCCTGGTCTCAAAGGAAAGAAGAAAAAGCAGGAGATGGAGTTTCTCTGGACCACAGAAATGCCACCCTTCTTGGAACCAAACAAAGTATGCACGGGAGGTGAAGTACTTCTAGAAATGACACTCTAACCTCATGAGAGAGGGTTGCCTAGGTGAACAGGTAGCAGGAGAAGTCTCCCAAGGGAGAGGACCATGGTACCTGTGAAGACATCCTCAAGATAGTCCGCCAGCCCCTGGCTCACACCGCAGGAGGTACATCCTGGTTGGCCTTTAATTCATAACTAGAACTAAACTGGAAAAGACTTGCCTCTGCTAGAAAATGTGAGAGATTACAGCCAACCCTGCAGTTCCTTCCCAGAAAGACAGCATGCATGGATGCCATGTCTTCCTGATATAGTGGGTAAAATCCTGGCTGTGTGTGCTGACTTGAGTCCATCTATGCTTATGGGGCGCAGGGAGCTTCCAAAGGAGAATTAGTGGGGTTATTGGTTACCATTTAGTAAATTCAAAATCACCCTGCTATTCTGGGTATCCTACAGCTACACTAAAACCTTTCCCCAGAGCCCCATGAAGCCCCGAGCTTTTCACAGCCTAGGCTGTAGTCGTGGGCTGACAGTCTTCCTATGAGACTGGGCAATATGGAAGTTCACAGCCTTGTCAGGAAAAGAGATTCAGCAGAGAAAGATTCTCTGGCTTGGCTTCTCAGAGAGAATCCCAGTCAAGGAGTTCCAGGTAACAACCAGGATTCTTTGTGCACCTTGTGCCTGTCCCCCAAAACCTGCCCTATCAGAATGCTGGCTTGCTCTGTGTTACCCCTGTGACGAGAAGCTCAGAGGGACTTGAAGTATAAAATCGAACATTAAAACAATTAAAGACTATTTTGCCTGGCTAGAGAGATGGCTCACCTTCATTAAGAGTACTTGCTGCTCTTCCTGGGGAATGGGAATCGGTTCCCAGGCCCCATATATGTGGCTAATAGCCCCCTGTAACACAGCCACAGGGGATTGGACCCACTTTCTGGGCCCTGTAGGCACCTACATGTACCTACACACAGGAAAACACACACATACTATAAATTAATTATTTTTTCTTAAAATGAAAAAAAATATAATCACTAGGTCCACCAGGCCTTTCAGAAGACAGCTCTAGGGAGGAAAAGACAGGGCAAAGAGAGCGCAGGGTGACTAGGCGCTCTCTTCAGACAAAACTAGACTTAGGTCTATAATGGCACAGTCGTGGAGCTAGCTTGCTGTCTTCCCTCCCTCTTTCCTCCTCCCTTTTCCCCCACCCCTCTGCTGAATAGTGCTCTGATTTCAAGGGCACGCAGGCAGCCAGGAAGGAAGTAGGGTGCTGACAGGCTCCCCAAGAGCCCAGCAGATGGAGGAAGTATTTCAAAGGCTGCCAGGGTTGTAGTAAATGTGCCCCACAGTCCATCTTCTTAGAAATCCTTTATTTATCAAATATTTAAAAACACACTTCGCTCTGTGAAGCAAGTATTACAGCAAAATGTATGGCATATGCTAACCCCGCATGCAGAATAGGAGGCATCCTTGCCTTCCCGGCTCAGTCATGGCTGGACCTCCAAAGTATGGGCTCTGACCCAGTTCTCTTGCTATGAAGTGGGTGCACAGGGCATAGGAGCAAGGGGGCATGGATGTCTTTCCCTTGAAGAGTGTGAAGCTTATCTTCAGTGTCTAACAGGGCTGGCCTGCTGGCCTTTCTCTGATCTACTTTCGTAATCTTGGGAGATGCGCTTCTCCAAGCGGTGAAAATGGATCCAGGAAAATCGACCTTCCCCGTGTTCATGTAACAGTGAGCAGCAGTTGGCAAAGACTGGGTGAGTCCCCGCATACAGCACAGGCCTCAAGTAGTGAAGAGGCGACTTGCAAATAGATGTATGACCCTATGGCAACATCAAAGTGGATACAGCAGCCACGAGATTTAGGAAGATAAATAACAAAAACAGAGAGCTTAACAATTTCACAATTTTCAGCAATAACAAACAACAACATATTCACCTGTAGAAAGGAGGGAGGAACAAAAGGGCATTTAAACCTTGTTTGAATTTTGGTCAAAATATCACCCATGGAATAAAAGTTTTTAAAGCAATAGTGAAGGCTTTTCCTATATAAGACATGACACCTAGACTCCCAGAATCCTCTACTGCTGGGGCTCACACTCAACTCCTCTACAGAGTAAGAGTACCTCACATATGCCTTAACCACTCACCAACTCAGCCTGGTGGCATACCTTATACCCGGCATACAGCCAGTCAGGCAGTCCACCCAGGCCTCTACAGTCCTGGTATTTTCACAATGAGGCAGGCCCCTCATTGCTCCAATTCCAGAGTCTAGCCGGATCTCAAAAGGTGGTTTCTATAACCTTCTTTGTCTAGGACAACAACAGAGGGATTTGGGGCTTTTTAATTTTAAACTAAACATTAATGACTGCCCAAGGACAAGAATACTCCCCCCCTCCCATGATGCAGTGTGCCTCAGTCTGCCTCTCCCACAACATCTTCCCATGAGAAAAACTAGATTCCAGTACGTGCATGCCGCTTTGTTTTAAAAGGGATGAGGAGGCCATTCCTTTCTATACCAGGAACGTTTGCCTGACCGTTCTGTGCTTCTCTTTCCAACATGTGGCTCAAGATTGGAGCCATCAGCACGCATGGCTGTAAAGTGAGATAGGAGTTGGTGGTCCAAACGACCAAGCATTTTCCAGAAAATTCAGCTTCACTGCTAAAACGGCATAGCGTTAAGGTAGAGGAAAAGAATTCACATGGCAATTGGGATGAAGCGTCTGCTTGGGGGGGGGAGGAAGAGTCGTGGTCATACCGGACAGGCCAGAGAACTTTGGCGAAGTGCTAGCTGAGGGTGTGGTTAAATACTCTCCAGGATCATAGCTACAGTTTCGAGCGGTTCTCACTTTTTTTTTTCTTCCCTTGGGATAATATACCCCAGAATGCTTTGCATCTATAAGATGTATAAATGACTTCCGTTCACGAGACTCAGTGGGCTGCTGGGATGCATCCCTGACAAGTAGCTAACGAGATGCCTAAACCACAGCCAGGCACACTGCCGTGGAATTCCACATGCCACTCAAAAGGTGAGGTAAGGCTGCATAGTCAGGTCCATAAGAGTCTGTCACCACCTCTCTCTCTCTCTCTCTCTCTCTCTCTCTCTCTCTCTCTCTCTCTCTCTGTAGGTAAAAGGCATCTGCATGCATAAGTATAGAAAACTAAACAGCTTTAAAGAACAGACTGAACTCTCAGAGCTAATTCTAGGAAGGAAGATTTAAACATAAAATGCTTTTCAGTTTCCCCCCTTCTCTAATTGATGATATTTTTCATAATGTGTATTATTTCACAAAGGCTCCTTTTTAAACATAAAAAATGACACTCCAATGCTCCATTTCTTTGAATATATACTGTGGAGTAACTTAAGAAATAGTAAAGAGTACCATGTTAAAAAAAAAAAGAAAGAAAACAAAACAAATGAGTGTCGTGTGTTTGAGACAAGCTGACTCTTCCTGAGCCTGGGAGAAACAGAAAATACAAGGTGGTAGGGGGAAATCCTGGAACATGGCAAAGTCACCTAAACAAAAACAGTAGCAAGAGAATAAGGGGCCAGACTTATGAAGGCAAATGAGCCTCTTGGAATTCTGTGAAAGAATGCATTTTGGGAAAAGTCTAGTAATTTTGAGACTGTCTGACTATTACTGGCACAAGGAAGCATCTAACATACAAAATAAACAGAAACAGCCTACTGACTCTGCAGCTGTTCAGTCAGCCGAACCACTGGTGTCCTGATAGTTCCTAACCTGCACAAAAGCTCCTCCCCTCCAGTGTTGCCATGGAGACTACGGATGGCCAACAAAACAAATAGAAGGGGAAATGGCACAGAACTTAAAAAAAAAAAAAAACTACCTCTAGTATTCAGTCTCTTGATTTCTAGCTCTCTCTCTCTCTTCCTTCCTTTCTTCCTTTATTTCAGAAAAAAATAATAAAGGGAGACAAAGAAAAATGCTTTGTAGTCATTGTTAGAAAGGACATTAAAAATGCCCCATCTTATGTATCCCTGATGCTTTTTGGCTCAAGTATGTGACCACAGAGTACACCAGCTGGCTGTGAGGGAAGGCCAAGGAGAAGGAACAGACAGGATACAGGGTCTACTTGCAGAAACTGAGTGACAGGGACATTGCAACCTAGACTAAGGCTGAGAGACATGATCCCCGCCATTCCAGAACACATTTTTCTGTGGGTGGGCAGGATAGTCTCCAGTTTAGACTTTACTTTCCTGAGAAATGGACTGCTCAAGTCTGCCTTCTCTAGTCAGGGATTCATACCGACAGTTTTTCAGCCTTCAAGCAAAAGCCGGTCTACACCAGGCTCAGGCCGGCATTTAAGTACATGTAAACACATCACTGGTCAGATCAGGTTTCACAGTTAGAAGCCAGGGCACGGTCACCAAAATACCAGCACTTGTCAAGACCTGGATGAGAGTCACTCTTCTGGGACGAGTGCCTCTGTTGAGCAGATAGAGCTGTTTTTCATCACAGATCCCTGCTGGTGGTGTCTTCAACTGTGAACCCACTTGGTAGGTAGCGCTTCCGAAAAAAGGGGGCGTCAATCAGCTGCCATGTCAGAGTATATACAACGAAGCCAAATCCTTGGTGTGGCTGGCTCACTCTTGAATGGAAGAATGACGAAGGGATCGGTGGTAATCTGGAGCACTGATGTGTTCAGATAGATCGTAGCCCCTTAGGAAGTGTCCACTGTTTTGTTGAGCAAAATAAAACAGTTGTCTGGCTAGCAGAGGTTCCACCTTTAATAAGACATTTTTTAAAAAGAGACATTAGTAGATGTGAAAAAGCATTCTTTTAGCACTATACAGTTGAAGCGTCATGAAATGACCCTCAGACTCTAAGCACAACCCCAAGTTGTATAAGGTAACATAGCAAAAACATGTTCAGAGCCATTTGAAAAACCAGTTTTGTTTGCCCTTACAACACCTGGAAGACCATATCTTGGAAACAGCATTCTTGATTTTATAATTGAAGCTGAATATGGCATATCGTTCAAATCAATTGTCTCTTGGAATTTATTTGACTGAATGACTGGACATTATCAGGTGATTAAATTAAAATTTAATTAATGGGGTAAGTAAAACTCAGGGTAAGTTAGGTTCTTGAGTTTGACAGGGAGAGGGGGCCACCCTGAACAGACAGAAGACCATGCGATATGTACAGCTCTGAGCCACAGGGAGAGGGGTCACCCTGGATGACCGGATGACTGTGTAGTATGTACAACTGTGAACCACAGGGAGAAGACAAACACTTGAACAGCATTATGGCAAACCGTGGTTCTCTGGCTCTGGTGGATCTAGTTTGTTTGTGAGCATAGATCACGTTCCCAATCAAAGCCAGCCTTCTCCAAGTCAGGCTGAATGATCTCTATCAACCAATCACATATGCATTAAAACTTTTCTTATTTGATATACAATGACCGATATGACTCCTCTGTAATCACCTACATGAATTAAGTCTGTGATAAGACAACCAAGAGAGTCCGTGAGCGGGCGCCTGAGTATGTTTTCCACCTATGGACCTTAGGGCAGCATTTTGAGGCCCTTTGCCTACAGGCCCGCCCTTGCCTTTCCTTGTGGAGCCCCACTGCACCCAAAAATCCTTCAAATCAGATCGAGGCAGGAATTTTCTCACTACTTTTAAAATGCTGCTTATCAATGCTAGACTCACCCACTCGATTACAAACTTATTGTATCAGCCACCAAATAGAACTGAGGAAATGCTCAAGTCCAGGATTATAGTTGCTTCTTGGATTTTGTTTTGCAATCAGAAAGGGAGGCTGAGTGTTCAGCTTCAGTGCCCCACCCCCATCCCCAGCTGGGTCTAGAATCCAAAGCTTTACCAGTGCGGGACAACTGTTTACCACTGAGTTGTATGCCTGACTTTTAATTTTTACTAAGAAATACTCTCAGAACTAAAATCCCCTTTGCATTTGAATATCGTGGGTATTTGGAGATGTAACATTGACTTGGTACTGGATACTTTTCTAGACAGGCAACAGAGGAAAATCTTCCAATTAAAAACATCAGGTATTCAGAACTGCTTTTTAGTTATTAAATGACTGTTAAACATTGTCTAAATAAATCTGTTATCTTTTCTTTGCAAAAGATATCTACAGGCCACGGTTGCACGCATCTTAAACTGGGCTGGGCGTAAGGACAGACTGGCCTACCTGGACTTCTGGGAAGACTTAGGCCTCCTCCACAGACCTCTTGTCGAACTATTAAATAACTCCCCAAAGTTCCACAGAAAAAAAGAGGTCCTAGGAATTATCTGGAGGGAACCTACATTATATACAACAGGCAGCTTCCCTGTGGGGAAAGTTCTTCCCCTCAAGGAAGCTCTACTAGAATAGACAGCCCACAAGAAGCAGAGAGGTCAGAGGGAAGCTCTTGGTATCAACTGCTTAAAATTCCTCTAGAACGAGAGTTGAAGAATACCGGACACACAGAGCCTTGGGTTGAAGGTATCTACCCTGTTGCTTTGGTGGTGACAGACTTTGGCTGGAAGCTTGTCACCCTGAGCTGTGCTGCTCACTGGAGCCTGTTTCCTCCTCTGCTATTTTAAGGGCTGCGTTTATTTTCCCAGGTGAGTTGACGTTTGCTCTTCGCTTGCCACTTCTCTAAAAGGGACTGCTCCACAGTGTGTGACTCGACAGTGATGTAACTGGGAACTCACATGAGCCGTGATGAGCTTCCTCTGCCTCTGGGGGTCTGGAAACTCCTCGCCGAAGCACAGGGTCACCTGGAATCTCGGTGCTGGCCGGCCGTGGTGAGCAAACACTTGCAGCTCTGGGAACCCACAAAGGAAAAAAAAAAAAAAAACCTGCTCAGACATCTGGTAAAGTGGGCAGAATGGAAAACAAGAGCCACGTGTGATTCTGCTTTGGGGGAGCCCAAGCTCTGTTTACCTAAGTCTAGCTCTCGGGACAGACCCCAGACACAGAACCTCATGTTCAAGTTCATATGTGACCTCATAAGCTCATTTTGCTTGAGGAACATAACGGAAGCGTGAGAACTTTGGTTCTGCAACACTGGACTCATGGAAATGCACAAGGTGAGAGAAGGAAGTGAGGGAGGACAGAAAAGACAAAAGAAAAGTAGCCTTGTTGAAGCAAACAAAGAGCACAGGCAAAGGAGACATTTCAACTTCAAAAGGCAAAACCTTCTGGTGGCCTGAGGTTATTTTTAAACACCGCTGCCCTACCCGTGGTGGCCACGTGGTGTTTGGGCGCCGAGGGCATCTGTCTCCCACACCAGCTGTTGACAGGAGTGTCCCGCAGGGTACTATGTCTAAAGTTCCAAACCATGACCTGAGTAGACTTCAGTCTCACTTTGGGGACAGAATGATGATGTAAGAATGGCGGGTGGGGGTGGGGGGGGGATGAGGGTTGATAAACCCCTCTGGCAAGGATGTGCCTGCTGAGGGTATTCCTTCTTGAGAGCCGTGAAACAGAGAAGAACATTGTTGAAAAGAAACCTCTCCCTGGCCGGGGGCTCTGCCGCTGGCTGAGCATTTGACTTTGCCTTACGTGTGCAAGGTCCCGGGTTCCACCCCTAGCACTGCTAAGTACAAAAAGAAAGCCACATTCAATCACTGACATCAACCCTTTACTCTTCCTCCTGGCACTGGGTTCCCAGGTCTTGTCTTCATAAAACTGACATAAAGGAGCTGCCCTCCTGCAGAGCAGCCCTGAAGACTCTGCCCTTATCTGATATGAATGCTCAACCCTGTAGCGTTTAGGGACTGTCCCTAGTAGGGTGCAAATCCTGAATGGGTAGATATCAAAGATTTCCACTGCTCTCTGCAACTGAAGAGCTTCTAGAAGCTCACAGAACCGACTTCCTGCTTCTCTTTCTCTTTCTTCTTCCAGAATTCAAATCAAACCCAAGTGGTTCAGTCACAGTGTGTAAAGGGCATAGCCCTGAGCCTGGGAGGACACCCACACCACAGGCTAGTCAGAGGAGCAAGTGAGGACAAGTCTCCGAGAAAGCCCACCTCAGCCAGCTAACTCGAGAACAAGCTGGAATCCCTAGCTGCAGAGGCTGTTCTGCCGCTTGGGGACTGTGGAGGCTGTGGATGCCAAAAGAACAAGTCCCACTACAGAAAGGGGAAACAGAAATGAACAGTTCTTGCTTATGGATAACTATAAGTCCGAGAAAGTGAATTTCCAGCCAGCAGTGTTCTTTCCACTGTGGCACCAGCCTTCTGCCTGGATCCCCAGCAGAAAAAAAAAAATAAAATCAAGGCTTGTGTACTTCCCAGCCCCAGCTCTGGCAAACATCATTGTTCTGGTATTCCTTAGTCAAGCAGGGAATTGGTGGTAATCTTCCGGTGGGGAGGGGCGCATGAGGACTTCCAGACCCCAGTGCAAACATAGGATGTGCAGATGACCATCCCAAGAAGTTGCTCTTCTTTGCCTTAGACTACAAACACTAGAACTCACTACAAGGGAGGCAAAACAGTCTTGCCAAGCTCTGAGGGTCTTCCCTATACAGCTGCCTTGGAGCCTGAGATGGTTCCCTTTTAGTGCCCCAACTCTTAGAAAACAGTATTTATCAAGGAACATGCTTTGCTTTGGGAAATAAGAGTCTTTGGATGAACGTAAGCAAATGCTGGCTACTGAAGCTCAAAAGACCGAGGAAACGCCGCTAGCACCAAGAACGCTGGGACTTGTAAGTGAATGGAAGGAAGAAGCACATGGAAGCTTCAGTTGTCTTCCCTGTGTACACATCCGAGGTAGAGCGAATCAATATTGGAGAGATAGTTGGATTCCCACATGATAACAGCACCAGTTAGAGCATCTCAGATAAAGAGTTATCCTGTGTGCCCGCCAATTAACACACAGATAAAGAGAATGCCATGCAATATAGATAACAAAAGAATATTACTAAGCCCTTATAAAGAAGGAGGGCCTGCAAGCTGTAACGACACAGAGGAGCCTGGAAAACATCACGCTAAGTGAAATTAGCTATGCATCCGAAGACAAATACTGCGCGACACCCCCATGTGGACTCTCATAGAGTTGAACTCATAAAAGTAGCACTGGATGGTGGTCACCCAAAGTGGGGAGTGGTTAGGAAGCTATGGGTCAAAGAATATAGGCTCTCACTAAGACAAGAATTTGCTGAACGCAAGCTCAACAATGGTATATCCTCATGACTACAATAATGGACCACATGCTTGACAATAGCCGAGAGTAGATTTCAAGTAGTGTTCTTCACAGAATAAAAAAAAAGATAGGCATGCAAGATGATACACATGCTAACTAGTGTGATTTACACAGTGTACATGCATTCTAAGCTACCCTGCTATGCACGGATAAAAGGAGCAAAACCAGTTCAGGTTCAAGTAATGGAAAGCACAAGAGAAGTCAGAGGTGTGGATTGTATGGGAAGGGCTTCAGGAAAAAGCGAGCTCAAGATATGATGGGGAGCAGCCAGCAGAGCAGCCTACTCCCCCAAAGACATCCTGTCTCAGACAGCTAGGGAAACCCTCTGGATGGCACCCCACAGTGGCATAGAGAATGACTTCATAGAAGTCAGCTTGGGGCTAACTTAACTAAACAAAAGCAAAATGTAAACAATAAGAAATACAGGTTCTGGAAAATATGACTAGAAGCCTTTATGTGCCAGAGATAAAGCTAAGCTTTTTCAGCGTGTCCTCCCTGCTGAAGCTGGTCCTTACACTCTCCACCTTGGTCCCACCTGCAGTGTGGCACTTCCGTAAGGGTGACACATGTCCTGACCAAGAATGTTAACAAGTCACTTCCGTAAGGGTGACACATGTCCTGACCAAGAATGTTAACAATATGCTTCTAACCGTCTTCATTTTTCTAGGAACCACTAAGAAGCTGTAGTATCAACAGATAAACTTGCGGAGAGCATAGAGCCGGTACAGTGGAACCTTGATGGTGGAGAGGCACGAGCTGCCAAAACCCCACATTTTACTTCATTAGCCAGGTGTGTTGGTGCATCTCCAGTTCTAGGCCAACCCGAGCTACATAGCTCTTGCCTCAAAAGAAAGACTGACAATAATAATGATAACTTAAGATATCACCCTGCACCATAGTATATCCTGGCCGGGCCATAGGGACCCTCTTCCTGGTCCTCTATTAATAAGGGGAGCACACAACAGACAAATATATAAGACACGAGTCAAACAGAAACCATATTCCTGGGTGAGCTCATGATCTCAGGAGGAAGACCCTTGCCTGGGCAGACTCCACCATTTGGGACCTTCCAATGCCAGCACCCATCACCACCTCCATCAAACAGGTTGTGAGGTATATTACCTGATAGGAACTGCTGCGTGTCAAAGAGCTTGCAAGTCTGGTCTCTTTCTAGTTTGTTGGGCCGATCGCTGCACAATGCCAGGGGCCCATCCCAGTAGATCCTGCTCTGGCAGAGTCTTTTGGCATAGAGCCCATCTGGGGCCATCCAGAGGACCAGTCCCCTCTCCAGGTGGCTCAACAACTTTTCGATGTTCTTCCTCTGCCCATTGTCCTCTGGGTAGGGGAACAGGACCTGGTCCAGGTTGCTGACATCATAGGTATGTCCGTGGGAGATCCGACAGCCTTCGGGACTGGATGTGGTCAGCTCCTTCACTAGGATATCCCGGTAATAGAGGCAGATATGCAGCCGGCAGTCTGTGAAGAGAACTCTGGAGTCAGTGTTGATGGACCTGGGGCGGATACTACAATGCTCAGAGGCCCAAAGACTCAACGACAACACTGATATGTGTTACATATCAGTACAGTAGGTGGAACATTAGTGTCAAGATGCTCCATGAACAAGCAGGAGGTTGCAGGGCCAAGGAAGTCTGGGAGATGTGAGCTGCCCTTGTCCCCTGCAGATTCCTGGACCACAAAGAAACTGGAAGGAAACTTATTTCTCTAACATGACCATTTTCAAAGCTTGATGTGGTCATTTACTCATCTTGGGGGAGGGGTGTATTGCTTGGATTTCCAGCCCGTTTTTACTAGACAGCACCTCTATGTGGGTTGGTTGGACGATGATGTTAGCAGTGATGGCATTTTGTCTAAAATAGGAAGTAACACCACTGAATAGGAAGTCATTTCACAGCCAAATCCATTTTAATTTTGAAGTTGAACCCTAAGATTAATTTCACTAGTTAAAAACTACAGAAACATCTCAGAAGACAAGCCAAATGTGTCGGCAGCTCTGAAACTTCCCTAACGTATCACCATGATGTCATCTAAGTAAAAACAAAACAACAACAACCAACCAACAAACTCTCATGTACATATGTTGGAAGTAAGCAATGAAATTACGATTTCTGGGCCATGAAAAAATGATACTTTTATTTTCTTATTTTTTTATTTTCTTTGGGTGGGACAAAGGAATTGATGAGAAAATGCTCTAAGAGCCAAAAATTAATGTTAAATCTTCTAAAAATCCCTCTAAACTTTGTGTTCAACTTTGAAAAGAACCCAACAACTATATTTTCTACAGCTTTAAGACATTATTGACAAATGATTTTATTGTTTCAGAAACCGCTTTAGAACACCACCCACAGTCTTAAAGGGCAGGCTGGGTGTGTAAGGGCTCCCCAGGCAGAGACAGATACCTGTGGTGGGGGTTGGAGCCCAAACAATGCCTGGAAAGAATGGCTTTCTGAAAAGTGCACCCCGGGTTGATAATTAATTATGCAAACCAGAAAAAGAAACCCACAAAACCCTTGTATTCTTCAATGGCAGATTCTGACACAGCCCACATCATGGTGTCTCCCATTTCTGCTGCTATAAAGAGCAAGTCAGTCAATGAACCCAAAGAGAGGGGGCGTTGGCCATCTGAGGTGACTGGCAGGGCAGGTTTCATTTCATTTAATGTCACCAGAGTCACCAGATTGCAGAGCTATAGCCAGATATTTATTTCCTACTCTTGGGGCACTCATACAAGTCTTAGGTGTTCCCGAAGAGGGTCTGGGGCTTTCTAGACTCAGTGGCAAGCCCTAATGCTCACAACTGTCCCTCTGCTGCTCTTAAGTGGCTCACAAAGTCTCCCTGAGCATCAGAATTGGAAGGAACTAGGTGTCAAGACTTATTCCTCCCTTGTGAGCAAGGGAAGTGCCTAAAGCTGTTACAATTTAGTTGATATTTTCAATCTCAGACTTTTAAGGCAGCCATAGGCATGGTGGGAATTCTAATGTGCAAACTATCTTTAATATTCACCCATTTGAAAACATACAAAAAATCATCTAAAGATTAAATGGCTGCATATTTCCGTTGTGTTGGGGCTCCCTTAAAACAGGTAGGCATCTCTAAGCTCAGGCTTAATTAGTAGCAGAACTTTAAAATCAGATCAAATCCATGCATGATCAGAAATTCTGTCGAAGCTGCAAGGGAGACAGAGCAATATGTCCTTTGGGGGGCATAAGAACTTCTCAGAGACCAGGGTCCAGAACCAGCATTCCCTGGGAGTAGTTCAGGACCACCTGTTTGTGGCTAATGCTGAAAGGACAAACAGCATTTGGAAATGAAAAGGCTTATGCCTATGAAGACTCTCTGCTCTGTGATGTTGGCTGGAGGAGGAGCCTGGCTACACATTCCTGGAAAGCTGGGCAGGTAATGGAGAGGTTAAGGACTTCATCCAAATAGTGTTTGGCTAGTTGGTACTCCTGCAGAGATTAGTCTCTGTGATATTTGCAGATCCTGGGTGAATGTCCACTCCAGACCCCAGGGCCAGCAAGGTAAGAATCTAAATCCTCACCCAACCTACCCGGAGGAGAGATGCCACCTCCCTGAGAGCCTTAAAGGGAGCGCTACACTCACCTGAGAGCGCCAAGGCTTCAGCAGACCTTATGCTTGGCTCTATGGGGATTCCAGGAGCCTGGGACTCAGGTGGGGCACAAGCATAAAAGGTTCCTGTCACCTGGCAACCTGTGTTTGCAAATAAAAATCAGTTGATGTCTAAGCAGAAAGTCCGAGTGCAGGGGGGCTCTATAGAGTTGGGAGGAGCCACGCCCTGTCACCTTCCAACCCAAGCTTGAGAGGCTCCCGACGCCCACTGCTAGCAGAGCACGTGATTATGAGGCAAAGGGCAGAGTCCAAGTTCAGTGGGGGAAAATGCAGAGTGGCGCAGCGGAAGGAATTAGAGCCCAGCCCTGGTGGAAATGTGGAGCTCTCTGCATATCCCATCAGCAGGACCCTGGGGCCCCGGGAGGAGAGGGATTTGCACCAGCCCACACGTCACATCTCCAGCGGGGCCAGAGTTCAGATTTAGATAAAAGCTGGTTAAAAACTTAACAAATTGGTCGGTCATCATTTATGCTCCTTGCTGTTTGTAAGTTTGGGGGGAAACTGAACCATGTTCCCCAGCAGCCAAGAAGTTATGGCACACTAAACCAAGAATAGTCTAAGCAAGTATGGAATGCAGGTGCTAGGGGGCGGGGGGGGGGGCAGTGAAACTGTGACAAGGAAATGATTCCCAGAATAATCTAAAAGGACTACATGTGTGGTGACCTGTATCAAGACTTCTATTTAAATAATAAACTTAGAAGTCCTAAAAGCTTGGTTGAAGCCCAACCTGGTGGTACAGACATGTGATCCCAGCTGCTCAGGAGTTCAAGGCAAGAGGTTCAAAGAGTGATCTAGCCTGGGGAATTTAGCAAGACTCCCCCTTAACACACACAGTTTAAAAGGGGCGCAGGGTGCAGCCCAGTGCTCTCGCCTGAATAAAATACCAAATGATCAAAGCTTCGCCTAACAGAATTTGTGGAATTTTCTGTGTCCGGTTAATTGGTGGGTTTGTTGTTGTTTGTTTGTTTCTGTGGGAGTTCATCTAGTATCTGGGGACCCTGTGGGTCTTCTGGAGCTTGACACTCGTTTGTAGAGAAGTTTTGTGGATTACTTGTGATCTGTTCCTCCCTTCGTACCAAGAACGGCTACTAATGACTCACCACTCAAAAGACATGAACTAACAGTGATCTCCTGAAGTCCCTGGAAAGGTGGGCTGGGCACAGTTTGTAGTATGGTCCCTTACAGGAGAGTTGGAAGAAATAGACTCAGGAGATAATATGGCTCTCTATCAGTAATAACGGACAATTCAGAGGGAAGGCTGACAAAAATCTGCCCCTCTGTCCTAATATGACAAAGAAAACATGATGCTATGGAGAGTTAAGAACATGTTAACCAAACAATTGAAACAAAAAACAAATAGACAAGTTTTATAATTGACACTGGGCACTTGTAGATACCCACGCTTTTCTCTATTTACTAAAAAGGGGGCATTTTTCAGCTGCTTGAAAGGATTTCTGGGATCTTTTAATTAAGTTCCCACACAGAGTGATACTTCTCATGGCTCTCAGGACTTCAGCATCTTACAGGACAAGGCAAGAGCCCGCCCCACAGCCCCCACCCTCCCCAGTCTTCATGTGATGTCTCTCAGCATCTCTGTGGAAGGGGACAGCCCTATGGTGCTAGCCAGGAGGGTCACCCAGGGGTGCCCATACCCTGAGCCCAGGTTGTTCTTCTGTCTCCTTCCCTGGCACATTCCTTACCATTTTCACAAGATGGGCCTTGCCAGTGGTGGCCGCGGGGGCCGAACGTCACAGGACACTGATAGGGAATTTCTGGGTGTGGCTGATCAGGAGCATATTCCCTCCAGGTTCTGTCGTGAGGTGGTATCATGTAATTATGAACCTGCTGACAGAGCACAGGCATTGCTAAGAGGAAAACACCTTTTTCTGGCCAGCAGCTAACTCATCCTGTCCAAAAAGTAGTTTGCACTGTCTATCACAGTAGGTAAGAAACAGCCATAGAGGGTCTAGGGGCACAATGGGGGACATTGTGTTAATCTGTGATTTTTTGTAAAGTTTCATCATATGGCCCGAGCATGGCACCAAAAAAGCTGCAGCGCAGTCTGCCCTTTGTAAGCCGCCAAAGAGAATAAAACAGTACTGTAATTCACGTCGGGGAAGCCTAGAGAAGTCAGCTGCCCTGTGGTTTCACATGACAAGGTCCTACTTCCAAATTCCTTGACTTCCACAAAAGGTCTCATTCCCAGAAGACTGGCCGTCAGTAGAGAAGCACATCTCAATAGGTGGGACACATCAGACTCCCCAACTTAACCACCAGGGAGAGTGACACCATGTTGAAACTGAAACATCCTCTCTGGCCAGGGGTTTGTCCTAGCCACAGCAAACAGCAAGTCCCGCTGTTTTCATTTGTGTTTTCCCCTCTCGGTGGAGCTGGCCAGAAGACTCAGCCTAGCCTCCCACAAGCCCCACAGTCCCCCCACATACCTGGGCTGGCAGTGAGCCATAAGGTGCTGTCATGGGGTAGGGGTGGCCCATGGCCATCTGTGTGTCTTCCAGAGTGAGCTGTTTCGCTCCTGCGTGTTTGGGGAAGAAGAAGAAACAGCACTGAAAGAGGGAACTGACTTAACTGAATAGCAAATCTTAGAAAAATACCTGAGCATTTAATTCTTAGAATGCATAGCCATGTTAACCAATCAGGTTTTTTTTTTTATTTTCAAGCAATTCCCTCCAGCTATTATTTGTCTGTACCGTTACACTGTTTAAACAAGTTTTGACTTGTGCGTGACAGCCAGAAAAAGAAACAGCACGCAGGGCTCTGTGATCCACCGAGTGAGTGGTTTCTGGCAGTGAGCTGGTGCCTAGCTGAGGCATCCTGCCTGATTGGAACAAACACATATTCCCCGGGCTCCGATCTAGACACACCAGTTGGAATCTTTGAAAGAGGAAAGCGTAGATCTGAATCTTCATAAGTACCCCAGCAGACTGTAGAAAATTTGACATTCTTATTACAATAAGTGTGAATATTTATGGGGTATGCAATGTGCTTTCCCCTCTAAAAATGCTTAATTATTAGAGGATATTAGGTAAGTAAAACTTTAGTGGACCTTGCAGTTTTTGTTTGGAGATTTGGTTCATTCACATCCTAACTGAATGGAGTAACCGGAACACTTTAATGCCTGCATGGGCATACCCACGCCCCCACCGGGCTTAAAGTCTGAGACATAATCTTTAACTAATACCACAGGGTTTTCACTCATAACCCAGAGAGCATGGGCAAAGAGGCTGCTGGGCTTGGCCATGGGGCAGGAGGTAGCAATCTACAAAACAGAAGTAGAAAGTGGCCCGAGTAGAAATTGGGATCTGTGAGTGTCACGCTGCCTCTATCCTGAGATCTACATCGGGGGAATCCCCTACCTTTTTTGGCTCCTTCAGGAACAATCCTGTACACCTTGTACGGGTCGGAAATATCCAGCTGGCTCCTCTCTACCAATTCCTCAAAGTCATTGCTTTTGTTCAGAGCACATCGTAATCTTGTCTTCCAAGTAGGAGGATCTGGCTTGTCGATACCTTCTCGGAACTTTCCTTTAAATAGCGCCCAGGCCTAAGAGTGAAGAGAAGCAAAAGTCAAAGCTCAGGTCTTCACAAGGAATTTACAAATTGTATTTCTGAAAGGAAGATTGTCGTTTCAGCTTGGCTGCTGCCCCAAACATAGAACATGATACCGGATTCCGCTAAGGTAAGAACTTCTCACCTACGGCCCTGTGGTGAGATAGGGAGACCCCCCCCCCCCCCCCCCCGCTAGTGTGGACTCTAGGTGCCAAGTGCCTGCATCAAGTGTGGATAAGACTAAGGCTTGCAGAGCTGCTGCGGAGGGGCAGGCCCCAGAGAGGACATCTACGAAGTCACACTGAGGTACTTTGAACAAATTCCCGCAGGAAGTCCCCTTCCCCTACCCTGCTGCCAGGTGGAGGCTGGGGGCTTCACAGTTCAGTGAGCCAACTCTCTGGGGACCTTACTCACAGGCGTGGGGGGGGGGGCGTCCCAGAGGAACACTTGGAATAGACAAAGTCACCCAAAGAACAGAAACAGAGATGGAAGCTTCCAGAACTAGAACCAGACTACAGAGGAGCCCAACCAAAAAAAAAAAAACAAAACCCAGAGAAACTCAGAAAAGTAGACAAATAGAGACAGGGTAGCCGAGAGTGGTCCTAGTAGTCGGTGCTGACAGTGGCAGGAAATAGCCTAGGGGACTAGGGAACAGGAGCCCCAGCCTCAGGGCATCTCTGCGCCCCAGGGATGCTCAAGTAAGAATGGGGACCTGGTTTTCCCGGCAGTGTAATCACCAGAGAGATTAGAGCCTCTTTCTCCCCCCCCCCCGGGCTTCTGCCAAGCAGGACCCCACGCTTGACGCTCAGGCCTCTGCCTCGCGGGGCCTACCCGACCTCCCGGTCCCTTGCTCTGGAGGTACAGAGAGTCCAGAGAGCTGTCTGACTCTCCTCTCTTCCCCCACTCTCTCCCGCCCTAGGATCCCAATTGCCGGTAACCTTGAAGAGGGCGGCGTCCTCTTCGCGGTTGTAGTCCTGCTTGCCCGCGTGCTTCCACGGGATGCGGAAGACGCTCTTCTCTTCGTTCTCCCACACCAGCCCGGGGTACTTGCCGCTGTCGATCTGGTCGATCAGCCACTGGCGGAGTTTCCCGTTGCCGCAGCTCACCGCGCTCATGCCGAACTCTGCGCCCCGGCTGCCCGCCTCCAGGTTCATGCCGCGTGCCAATCTCCTCCCGAGCTCGCGCGCTGCGGGGAGACAAACTTCCCTGCAGCCACCGTCGCATCTCTCTCGGGGCATCCTGACACAAACTCTTGCAGTGACCACGAGGCCCCGGAGTTCCTAAGGCTGTGAGGTGCTCGCGAGCAGTTTCGCCAGAGTCCCCCAAGAGAAGGTACTTTGGCGAAGGTGTGGAGAGCATCCCTTGGCGCGCACCACCTCGCCCCATCTTGCACTCACTGTTCACTATTTTAACGCGCTCCCCATCTCAAGCTCCTAGAGACACAACTCTCTGAACACTCCAAGTCTTGTGCCATCCTGGGCGCCCCGTTTGCTTACTTGCTCCTCTTTGCCGGCTCCTTTCACCCCACTTTCCCCTCACTCTGTTTCTACCCTCGTCCCCCTCCTGGGGTAGGCTGCTCCAGGCGCGAAGGACCTGGCACGTGGACTAGCCCTTGTCCAGGTCCTGTGCCCATGGTAGATGTGGAGCACCTAGCTCTCCTCTCCTCTCCCTCGATTTTTTTTTCTTTGACACCCTCACTTTGTCCCCGGGATAACGCCAGGCCTACCTACCCAGCCAGAGACAGTTACGTGGGCCCTGGAAGCAACAAGTGGAAGTCTGGGTTTGGGGTGAGCAGTGCAGCCAAAAAGCGGGAGATTCCAGCCTGCAGAGGCTCGGTGCGACCCCAGGCAGGGGTTGAGGAGAATCTGGCAATACTGGGTGCTGCAGACAGTACCAGCTCCCCTGCGCGGGAAGCGAAGGAGGGCGTGGGGAAGGGGTTCTGAGCGCCCCAAGTTTAGAGCTCCTAGTTCTCCTTGGCCATTAGCCTAGGAATCGCGCTGGAGTCCTCAATGAGTTTGGGTCTTTATGAACCAGGATTGGGAAAGAAGTTTCCGACGGAAACAGACAGGGTCAGTGGCTGTCCCACTGCGGGCAAGCTGCCGCCAGTGTGTGCTCCTTTGATGGTAAGACAGTCCCGTTAGCTCGTCCCGCCCAGCCCGTGGGGATGTTCTGGGCGTCCAAGTAGCCTCACACAGAACCCACAGTGCACATATCCCGGGTCAACGCAGACTGGGGGGAGCCGGTAGGACCCCTATCTCGCCACGTTCCCTCAGGGATTGGGCTCAGGGATGAAAGCTGAGCTTTTCGTTCCCGCCCTGTCCTGTCACTAGCATCATACTCCTCCTTCTGCCCGACTCCAGGCCTTACCTCACCCGCACTCTGAGCTGAGGGCAGCAAAGGGTCCCAAGTTCAAGTGGTGAAACTCGGAAAGCGAGGTGAGAAAGAGGAACTTTATAGAGCCGGGGCGGGGCTCTGCGCTGGGCGGGGCGGGGCGGCTCCGCCTGCGAAGGCGTGACTCGCCTAGACCGGGCCAGCCCTCCATCCCTGCCGCGTGCGAGGCCAAAGGAGGGTATCCGGCTGGGACAGGAGCTTCGGATTGTAGCCCACAGGGTCAGGGGCTGTCCCCCTGCGGACAAGCTCTGACTTTCTCCAGTCCCTCCAGGGGAGGGAGATTGGGACTCTGACACACTCGGAAATTCTCAGCCCAATGGGACAGTCACTCTGGCCCGTTCCAGTGGAGGACAAAGCTCAGGAAGGAAATCTCCCCTAGATACTAGAACCTACACGGAGACTAGCTGCTAACTAGTAACCGCTCATCTCTATCGGCACGACCAGGGCGGGAAGCGGTGGAGGGGCTGGAGTCTAGGGAACTTGGTTCTCACAGCACGTGACAGAAGAGACAGATTGAGAGGCAGGGAGCATCCTTGGCACAGACAACGGAAAGCCCTGTCTCTCCGCATCAGGCTCACTAAAAAGAAAATAGAGAGAGGAGTCCATAAGTCGTGGTCCAAATACGGTGTCTGAAACGCTTACACACTTATGGTGTATGAAACCGATGAATTGAGATGACTCAGACAACACACAGCCCCCAAAGTTTCAATTATGGCAACATAAAAGAGATGGGGATCCCTAAGTATTCAGGTAGTTAGTACTTTCGGATGTCAATTCATGTTAAAATGATAATTTTAACCTCAGCCTCCCTAGAGGCAGTTACCAGTTACCGGTGGGGTAAGAGTGCCCCAAACAGGAGAGCTAAGTGGACTAAGGAGTTTACTTCAGTGACAAGGTGGTCAATTTAATTCCCCGAGTTTTCACCACTGGCTTTCTCCAGCCAACCTTGGACGTCTGCAATATGTTGTTTACTTGATATTTTCAGGTAAGCAGTCAGATCACCAGTTTCTATATGATTTTAGATCACAGCCACCACAGGTCAGTTTGGAACGTTTGTAAAGCTTTTCATTTCACTTATTTCTCAGTTTTTCTTTTAATCTTCTACCCTGGCTCCTGGACTTTAGAAGAAACAGTCGAGTTCAGCCCCAGCACAACAGACTCAGCGATGCCCACGGTGATGCTTTTTTCCTAACAGCAACAGCCTTTCTCAGAAATTAACAGGATGCCATGTCTTTATTTCACCCCAGTCAGTTTTCCACTGTCAGAGCCAGGGTAGTAAACAACAGAGTTTCGTTCAAAGAAAACTTTGGTCACACCCGTTTTCCCCTCTTCTTCCTTCACAACTTTGTTCATTCAGAAATATTCTTTGAACACCTTCTACCTGTTGGGAACTGCCCTGGTGGCTGGAGACACATCTCTGGGTGAAGGAGAGATTGTTGCTTCAGATAGCACGGTGTTGCCACTGGGGAATTATTTTCCTTCACAGTGTGCACAAATAGGAGACTGCTCTGCGCAAAAACAGCAAACCAGAGATATTTTTTTCTTTTTTTGCCCTTCCATACACGTGTGCTCGGTCTTGGCTTAGACGGTTTTAACATTTTCCTCGCCCATCCACATCCTCTGTTTTCAGAAGTTTGAACAACAGTCATTACCAGAAACCTTCTGAGACTTCGCATGGCTATCTCATTTAAAGATGTGATCACTAATCTTCAACGCCATCTTCTGGCTTACTTGTTTGTCATCGGCTAGATCCCCTAACTGTGATAATTTAACGGTGAGGTGGATGCAAACAATAAACTATCTGAACCATTAACATTTCCTGGTTCATTGGCATCTTTTAATGGCACACAGTGGTAGGTTTCTTCCCGGCATTTTTATCCACAGATAGAGAATACTCAGGTCACCTTCCCCTCCTCTTACCATTTCTTGCCATTTTCTTACCACTCACCCCTCAAGCTTTCCGCCCTGTCCCACATCCTTAGGCGTCCCCTTTTACTTTCATGCCCTTGCCTCAACACGTGAAAGCATGTGAGACACATGTTTGAGAGACTGGCTTATTTCACACAACACACTGAGGTCCGGTCCCAACCATTCTTGCAGACAGTATGATTTTGTTTTTTCTTTTTGGTTGAATGAAATTTCCTTATGAATCACTGAAGGTTCTTGATGTTCACATTGTCGCCGGTGGAGAGAAAGGGGTGACCAAGGTGCTCACTGAGGACTTCTTAATCATGGTCACAGATGACAGGAAAGGGGCAGTTTTGAGAGTCACAGCCCCCCCTCCTCTTTCCCACTGAGACTCGAGAAAACCGACACATTCCACTGTGAAGCAGTGGACAGTCGTTCTAAAATGTCATGGGAAATTAGCTAATTGAGCACCCATCCCAAAGGCAGAACTCTGTGGTCCAGATGGAGATCATTTGGGTTATTTGGCTAAAGAACGCTAAGCAGGGAAGCAGATCTGAACAGGGTAAACTTTTCATTAACACTTAACCATAAGGAAACTGTGAGAAAAGCTGAATAGACCTAAACTCGATAGCTTAAGAATTGACCTTTTAAAATTATACATTCACATGTAAGAAAAATGGTTTCCAGAGTCCACAGACACACCAAAAGTCGTCATTTGGCCACGGGTGTAACTTGGCAGTAGAGTGCTTGTCTAGCTCCTAATGGGCGCAGGGTTCAACCCCAACATCCCTAAGCAAAGCCGTCACCCCTCCAAGAGGCTCAGACCTTGTTTTGGATAAATGTATTTTCTCATGAAGTCACTCTTTAAAATGAGAATAACAATTTGTCTTTTTTTTAAAAAAAAGTGAAATTCTGTACTTGAAAAAAATTAATGTGACTATTTTTAATCTTTTGTAAAAAGACTAAAAAATGAAACAGGAAAATTTAAAAACATGTTTTACGGTTTTAATGCAGGTTGCCTTTGACTTTAAAAAAAAAAATCTGATGCCCTGACTACAGTGTGTGGAGAGTCAGGTACGATCTCTGACCACATTATGGTAAGTGTCAGGGAATGCTGGGTATGACCTCTGACCACTCCATGGTTAGTGGCAGGGAATGCTGGGTATGACCTCTGACCACTCTCTGGTAAGTAAGTAGCAGGGAGGAAGTGATTAGAGCTCATGATAGTGAAGGCTTGGATAGTGATCTAACTTTCCCACGGTCAAGAGTGATTGATAGTGACCCACCCTCTAAAGTGTCCTGACAGTGAAATCATATATATATATATATATATATGTCACAAGTGTTCATTCTCTTGGAACTGTGACTGTCTGTATCCTAAAGCAGCATTTGGGAGGTGTCACAGACATAGTGACATTTGTCCTTCAACCATGGTGTTCAGGGCAGCATGTATTCAGTCCAGCTGTGCACATGAGGAGAGAGACCCAGAAGGGCTACTGGCCATCTCTGTGACTTGCCCAAAAACTCAGCTTTTGTGGACCAGCCTTTCCCATTTATACATCTGTTTGCTGCTCCTGGGGTTAAAGTTAGAGAATGGGGAGATGGCTCAGTGGGTAAGAGTGCTTCCTCTGCTAGCATAAGGATTCACCCCGAGTTCAGGTCCTTAGCACCCACATAAAAGGCTGGGCATAGCTTTATGTACATATAACCTCAGAATTGAGAGGATGAGGCAGGTGGATCCCAGGAGCTGAACTGAACACTTAGAAAAGCGATGCATTATTGGGCAATAATTCATACAACTGTTTTTATGTAGTCCTGAACATATCTCCTTAACTGAAGCTGCAAAATGCTCTGAGTATTTCTGTGCTTTTGCACAGCGCCAGTATTAAACATCCCCCAGAATATCAGTCATGGAGAAGCAGAAGCTGTTGTGAACACAGTCAATGCCAGGAGTCAAAATATGTGGCTGTGTCCTAGGCAGAAAGTAACCACTTTCAGGCTAGTAGGAAATGAGACTTGTCATTTTAATCAATTATGTAATAAGGAGTCACCTAGTCTGTGACTCTAGGGCAACACTGCCCCTTTCTTCTCTTTCGTCATGTTTATAAACAAGGGACTGTTCCCCTTTTGTCCCTTTTTATCAACAGCATTCTAAGAAGTTTCCTCATAAAGTCCTCTCTGACTTGCTGGGCTTGCTGCGTAAATAGTGACTTGATCCTGCCAACTCCTGTTCCCAAGCCAGCAAAAGTGCAAATGGGGTGCAATCACTGAGGACAATTTTCTGAAAACTGAAGCAAGAGGTGAAAGGCAAATAGCATTGTCTCATCTCGCCCGTGTGTAGCATTGCTTGACTCTGGATCATTCTAAACTGTAGCTGCTACTTTTTCAGCAGAACACTGTGCATCACTTGTCACACGGGTGCCATTATTTCTGATGCTGGGGCACTTGGGGTGGTAGAGCATATCTTTCAGGGAACATGACATTGTGTATGGTCAACCTCAGGTTTAGGGGTCTGACGTCCTTCTTGTTCATATGGGCTATTCAGGACCATTCAGTGTGGGACACCATTGACCTCTGGCAAAGAAAAGGGGTTCAGCAAGACCCATGCACTAGCTTGTCATGCTGGCAATGAGCTGTGTGTGTAGAGCCATGGCCCACATTGCCTGTTAGGAGGTGAGAGCCACAGCAAAGGAGGGATTGTCTGGCTGTGGTTGGGTACAGCAGACAGAGGGGAATGACCAGTCCTGGGAGGATTCTACAGAAGAGACAAGGTCCCAGGCAGAGCAGGCACATGGGAAACCGGGGGTGCTAAGGAAGAGGACCTGAAGCCTGATGAGGAAAGATCCAGGTGCAGAGATTAGGAAATGGTACCCCTGAGAATCCACTTCCCAGACTCTCACAGAGAAAGTGTGACTCTGAGCTGGAAGTTGGGACCTGGGTTAATACTGTCAACTTGATGATGCCTAGATCTACGAGATGAGCCTTTGGGCATGCCTGGGGCAGGTATTGTCTATACTAGGCTAATTTTTTTTTTTTAATTTGAGGGTATCCAAGTTTGATAATCTCCACTTTTAGCTCAGACAAACCTTTCTTTCTGTTGCTGTGATAAAATACTCAACTAAAG